CAAGTCTGTGTTCTCAAAGAGCGGGTGGAAACAGGGATGAATTCCAAGGATAAATAAGAAACAGACAGAGGAGCAAGATTACAGGCTCAAAACACGAGATACAAAGGGAGGATCTGCACGGAGGGAGAACTCTGCATGTACAGCTTCTCAAAGGAAGTCAGAAAGCCTCTGAACTTTGCTGAGATCTGTTTTTCAGAATGTAGAGAAAGACTGAAGTTATTTCTAACACTCTGACAACATCACTGATGGCTATAAGTAACTGCTAGATATATAACTTAATAAGGACAGACTTGGTAATGATGCCTTATGTAAGGATAAATCACAAAGAAATGGGAGATATGCATGAATTCATTCAGTTCATGAACAACACTGGTTCAGTACACTTCCTTGCATATTGTTTGCAAAAGATAGTAATTGTTTTAGTTTCAGCTGTTACTAACTGGTTGGAGACAGGCTCCTCCAAGTGAAATGAGAGTGTGACTGAAAGGAGATTTTTATTTCCTTGCCTAATGAAGAAGCTTTAAAACACAAACCAAAACAAAATCCTGACTTCAAAAGCACTGCATATGTGCCAATCTTCACTGCTACAAGAAGTGCTTTTGAATGTAAAAAGCAAGAATGTGAATAAACATTTGCAAGTGACTGGGGATCCATCTTGCAGTTCAGATGACAATTTTGGAGATTAAGATCCAAGCTTTCCTGATCATCCTGAAACGCTTCAGAAAGCATTTATGAAGTTATGGTGAAAACTATGGCAAAACTGGCTATTAAAGAAAACTTTTGAGTCAGCTTTTGCATGTGAAACAGTGACCTCAAGTGGCTAGTTTGGTTAGCTAGAATGATCTCCTGATGCATAGGAAAATGGAGATGCTTGTATTTTGTTTAAAATTAGTAAAAAAAAAAAAAAGTGTGAATTTATATCATCTGTTTCACATTGAAAACAATTAAATAGACAAATATACACAATATGTGAGTTTTCTAAACAGAAACATACTTTGGTAAATTGTTTACAAAAATGGTGTTTTCATTTAGGGTGGAAAATTACCTTTTACCTCTATTTTTTAACAAAATATATGAGTAAAGTATGCAAAAATGTTTAGATATGTTTAAAGAAACAACACATTCCCTCCATTACAGCTGTAGTTCTCATGTATACTGACCACATAAAAATTTACCACTCCTCCTTTTCCTTACCTTTCAGCTTCGTATTAAAGACACAGGGAAGTTCAGAATTTCAGCTTATCCTTCTCAAAGCACACAAAAGGACTCTCCATAGACCCTTCCTCTATTTAGGATTCATAGCCGTAGCAAATTAGCATCTGAGGCAATTTTTCTAGAGAAAGGTCCCTTATTTCAAGATCCAACTAGAGAAAATAACAAAAATCGTCCTTCTGACTTCATTATTTAGAACACATACAAGGATACAGGAGACCTCAATTTAAAACTTTTCTATGCTTTTGACAGGTATGTGAATACCCCCATCTACCCAGAAAAACGCCTTATCTACTAAGCCAACAATTATTCCTGAGGAATAAAGACATTTAAATTCCTTTATTGAATCTATTCCAGTTTGTCTAGAATAATGAGATTCACTGGGTCAAAAAAAAGGGGAAAGCCAATCCAACCTAATGTATGTGTTACGGTGGATGTGGAAGAAGACAGAATCTTTAATTCTAATTATTGGAAACTCATATGTCTTCTCTATAGGGAAATTTTCCGTAGGGAACAATGCCAATTCCAAATGCCAGCTAAATTCTGCCAGCTTGTCTTTTTACTCAGACTTTCACGCAGCAGAGCTACTTTCTGTTAGGGTAAAGCTGCCAGGTTAATACTGCTTTCTCCCTTTTAATGTTTTTCCACGCTGGCTGACAGTACGTGTGGCAGTGGAAAGGAAGGCTCTTAAGGCTGAAGATTGAGTCACTGCCTGCAAGATAACACAGGATGAGTAGCAAATCACCTCTGTCCAGCCTTATTTACCAAAGGATACAATTGAACAGCTACCAGCTTTTTTGTATGCTTGCTCCAAACTGAAAGAACAAATAGGCTTTTCCACAAGCAACCTAAATTCACATCTCCCAGTTAAAGTATATTGGTTAAGGTATTCCACCCACCTTAAACATTTGGCTCTCATTCACTTATATGTATAAAATTCTAAGTAGAGAAAACAGTCTCTAAATTCATGATGCAATTATTTTGATTTGTCAGCAACTAGGCTCTTACATTATGTTACTGTAGTATCACTTCATAAATTCAGTCACGTAACAAAAAAAGCCACGCTTTACTTGATTTTGAGAGTTTCTCTTATGGCTAAAGACACCTATGTCAATTATATTTTAAACTTTAACTCTTGAATGTAGTTGTTTCCTAGGCAAGGTTAGCTAGAGGACAAATCATCAACTCAGATATAAGTTTGAGTCTTTTTCAAACATAGAAAATAGGACTATTTTTCTTATAAACATATGCACAGAAACAACATTTTTTCTTTGTGATGAGTAAATTAAATAGTTACATAAATCATTAAAGTTTAAGTAGTTAGGAGGGTTTAAATGCTTAAAATTCTGAAGTGTGTATTTTGAGATGTTCCTTATTTAAAAAATATTAGGTTTTGGAATTAGGGGCTATCTATACTTTCACTTATCAATACTTTCAGAAAACAAACAAATCCCTCTACCACACTGATTCTTTCTAAACTAGGTAACATCCACCTGCTAGCTACCACACTCTATCAGTGGCATCCCAAATTATCAGACACTGCACAGCTAAAACAGATTATTCTTATGTGATGATTAAAAATAAATAAAATCCTAGCCTTTCAAGTGTAAGGGTTCACTTTATTAAAAGGGTGTGGTATGTTAAAACCTTGTATTAAATATCAAAATTGATCTGTCAACGCAATACAAAACAAAATACTGCCTGCAAAGTGAATTACACTAAGGGAAAGAAGAAAGTGAACTTGGGCAAGCACAAGATTTTTTTTGATTTTGCTTGGGATCCCCAAAAGTGTGGATAATTGTTTCCATTAATAAATCTAGGGCAAAGCAAGAGTAACACAGCTGTGTAATACAAAAAGACACTTTTGTTGTCTTTTCTGTCTTAGAAGAGTTCTGATTGTGGTATCTCTCCAGTTTCACATACAGAGGAGGAATTTTCATTTTTCCAACCTCACATACAAGGAAGTGGGTTCAATACTGAAATAATTACGGAAGGATTACCTTGGACATACTAAACATACCAGCTTTTTTTGATTGTGAGAGATTTGCTGTTTAGGGAACACGCTGCTGTAAACCACCTTATTTACTGGGAATCAAATTCATACAAGCAACGTGCAACAAAGCCAAACGCTATTCTTAACTGGTGATTTCTCAGTACCAGGCAAGGACTGCAACCTAAAACATGTGTAATACTAAAATGATTATACATTGATATTGTTCTGCTCATGACCTTTATCTTGCGAACCGTTCTGACATTTGCATGGTCATGCTTATGTCCACATAAGAAAAACTCTAGACCAGAAATACTGATCTTGCCCCAGCAAATTATAAAGACCAAAGCTGAACTTTGCCAGACCAGGCTGGGAAAACTACATCTATATAAACGGACCAGGCCTATTCCTTGGTCCTGAAGACAAGCTGCACAGGCTGCCTTGCATCCATTTGACTAAATTCTTTTCAAACCTGCACAACAGTGCCTTTTATGTGCGAAAAGGCACATACTATCCACTACACTGCAGATATTTTCAGGAAGCGACACTTGACACTGCCCAAAATTGCATTAGGGGTTGTAACAGAATGGAGGATTACAGGACAGTGTCCAAGCTTGCATGGGTTTATTTATATACTAATATATATGTAGCCTGAGCACTCTGCGGGTCTTGATACAGGAATGAGCAAGGAAAGCTGTGCTGAGTTAAGGAGTCTCATAATGCACAGGAAAGGTAAAGAAATGGATCTCAGCCTACATAGGAAACTCAAAATACATGTGCATGTATTTACTTATTTTCCTAAAGTATGTAATTCCACCAGAGTCAGGGAGACTACACATGTTTAAAGTGAAGTTCACAATACACGCAAGCTTAGAACCTTACCAGTGTTTTGCTTTTGCAAGCTAACCTTTGTACTCCACTGCTCTTTATATTACTCTAAGTTTAATTTTGTAGATCATTTTTCCTATGTCTTAAATGACACATACTAGTAGAAGCTCTAGGACTCCACACTAGGTTTTAACTGCTTCCACATATAACTTCTACTGAAAAAATGTATATGGATTCCTTCACACTGTATTCATCGCCTCTGCCTCCTCAAATTCCCTAAATCCCATATGACCTTTTTACCAGAGTCAGTTTGTCATTTCCAGTTTTTTATTAAAAAGTCGAGCATTTATATATACATATATATGAACAGAATTTTGTAGAACATCTTGAACTTCTCCCCTTCCCCTCTGTTCCACAAACTAGCAAAAGATAGACCAAAATGTCATCCATATTTAAGAAAGCATATTTATCTAACTGCATTAAAAGCATAAAATATAAACTGAAACCATTCAGAGAAGGTTTTGACTGCCTTACACTTAATCTGTGCAAGATTTTACCAAACTGGTAATTTTTATGAGAAAAAAAAATTCCAATAAAAAAAATTAACTACAATTCAACAATCTGTATTCAAGATATAAATGGATAATTTTATGTATAAAATGGTCCTGTATCAGATTTGTTCACTGCCACACAATACATATATGAAATATGAAACTTGATTTATAAAGTGAAGTATTTTGTAGAAGCATAGATTCCTGAGATGTTCTGAGTACTAGCCCTCGTTTACTAGAATCCACAACATAGCTTCAATTGGCATAAGTAGAAGATTGGATACTTAATAAATATACATTTAACATACAGTTAAAAAATACATAGGTAGATGAAAACTGACTGGAAGTTTGTCCCTTATCAATCTTAATCGTCTTGGTCATGGTAAAAATGGCTTATACTAAAGGGCAGAAAGACCTTATGTTAAGACCAGCCTTTCTCGATTTCACAGCCAAGTTCAGACGTACTGTGAACCTCTGCCTTCCCCTCATTTGCCCATGGCCAAAGGGTGCAAAGCCCTGTTAACAACAGACACAAAAAGCATTACTGTTCTTGGATAAACATAGAAGAAGAACTGATTACATGAAACAGTATTAGTACAAATGATAACAACAATACAAAAAACACTGTCACTTCTCTTTCTCTGCTTTAATTCTCTGCTGTAGTGTCTTCAGTTCAGTCATTACATTCAAAGTTTTGTAAACCCAGGTGATCTGAAAAGTATGAATATCATTACGTTCAACTCATTCTTAATGTGCATACGTGTGTATATATATATATACACACACACACACATTTACTTATCAGTTTCATGAAAGAATTTTCCATTTAAATGAACACATACCACAATTATGATAGTATTCACCAGCAGTGGTGCTGAAAAGACTAGAGAAATAAACATTCCTCTTGAATCAAAGTACTGGTATTTAGAAAACAGCCTGAAAGAAAATAACAAAACATTATTCACTGTATTCCACACAACTTTATATGTTAACAATAGCTGTTCTACATTCATATTGGTCAGATTATCCTACTTCTTGGAAGCCCCAAGCACGGGACAGCAATCTACTGCTTTAAGCCAGAAGAACAGCCAAATTTTTTTTTTTTTTTAAACAAAGTCAGCTATGAACATTCATTACAATCCCGACCTGCCTCTTTTTTTGTAAGGCTTTGAAACATACATGCACAAACAAAAAAATCCAAACAAAAGACCCTTACAGATAATAGTAATTTATTGATGTGATTACATACATAAGAAGATATATCTGTATAATAGAAATCACATTTACCCTGAGGTGTCTGAAATGTCTTCCTGTAGATGTCAATTTTGATTAATCGTGATATTAAAAAACATAACAGAACTTGTAAGTGTAGTAAAGCTCTAATTACGCTGTGTATGCCTGAAGTGGAAAGATGTCTATACAAAATTGTTAAACATATGTAATTTCCTGTTATACTGGGGAAAGATTAATTTAATGCTTATGAAAAAAGTCATCAGTTTAACCTGGTACACAGACTAAGTAAAACAGGTAGATTTTAATGATATTTATGCACATAATAAACACACAGAATACTTAGTGATATTTATGAGAAATGGTACTAAATTTTGGCTTATTAAATACAAATAGCAAAAAAAAAAAACAAACAAAGCAAAAAAAAAAAAAAACACACACTAATACTGCCATCCTCTTCCCCTTAACTGTACTACTCTGATTTTCTCTTGGTAGTTAGTTGACAACTATCCATACAAACAAAAAATGTTTTTTCTTCTTTTGATTTTTAGGTAGGATAGTAAATACATGTTAACTGTTAGAAAAATTACTCTTTCCTACAAGCTAAGCTGTAGCTATATTGCATTGTATGGTTTTGTCCAAAAGGATTTTAATCAATCAGTGCAACAGATCTTCCACCATTATACTCTGTTGATGAGACATGAGTGACTGTCTTTCAATTAATGTTTTTGTGGGAATGTTATAAAAAAAAAAAACTCATGCATTTAAATGTGAAAATGAAAACGCTTACCTCCAATTCATGGCTGCTAATTCATTTATATATTCAGCACAGTACACTAGCCCCACTGTACAAGAAAAATATTATTAGATTCAATACTTCTCTAAAAATAAACAGCAAGTTATCAGTTCTAAGATACATATGTACTCAACATTAGAATTCCATGGTCCTCAGAAGATTGTTACACATTTAACTGCACAAAACCAATTCTGAATGCTTGAAGTGCCCCATATAGATATTAAGAATATTAAGTGACCAGAAAACATAATTGCAATATTATTAACAATTAGACATAAAATTCTGCACATCTACACTTACAGGAAGAGCTCAGTATACACTTGAGTAATTAAAAAAAAAAACACAGTATTTTTTCTAACAATTTTGTTGGTGATTGCTTCATAAAGTCAACACTTCCCCCAGACTGGTATAGAATTAAGATACCATTTTAGAAGCTTTAGGTTTTATATCCACCATTATTATCTAAATTTAGTGTACTAAACATTAAAAATAAATTCACTAGAATTATGAACAAGCATTTATGCAGTTCCTTCCTACATTGCATTGTGTCCAAGTCTTAAAAAGGTAAATCCCTTCTAGTTATAGTTTTAATATTTTTGGTCATTAAAAGATCCAGGAGAAACACCATATTTAAAACATCACCACTTCACAGAAGTGTTTTGAATTCACTTATGAGGATACAGCACAAACTTTGTTTGTGGTAGGTATATAGCAGAGTAGTCCGCTGCAGTCCAGTGAAAACTAGCACATTCTTATTCAACACTTGTATGTAATATGAATGCAACAAGATAGCAAAAAATTCCATTTAAATCATATGTTTAATAGAAAAGCAATGAGATTATATATTAACCAATTAAAAAAAATTATTGTCTTGCTTTTTGTGGAAAGTGATACAAGGAGAAACTTAAAACAGCTGCAGTGACTGTAAAGATGACGTGCACAAGTCAATTAAAAACAAATAGTGTGATGATACTAAGGGGAGTGCCATAATAACATTCTGTATTGTTCTGGAATCAGCTGGGTTATCTTTGCATGGTACTGCACAATATAGACATACTTACTGCCATTCAGCTATCAAGGTAAACCATTGTGATGATTTTATAGTTTCTTTAGTCGTTTTTTACTTTCTACAACATAAAATATTGTTTATTGTGGACATATCACCAGAGGTTCAGTTTTTCAGGAATATACAAGGCTGGGACTCGATATGGATTTTCTTGTAAGCACTCATCTTGCTTACAGGAAATTTACATCATACTCGCATTGAAAAGCCAGCAACAATCGGTTCCACTGCAGTTTTCAATGCAGTTTAGTACTTCAGTGTGCAAATTCATTTTAGTAACACTAAGAATACTTAAGAATGTAAAGTAAACTGAGGCAGCATGTCATCAGAAGTTCTGTGTGCCTAACACCAAATTTAAGAAAGAAAATTCTGACTTTTTAAAAGGAACACTTAGGCCTAATATGTTATACAGAGGAAAAAATAATGGTGCCCTGTGTACATGACCTTAACCTCTGCAGTTACAAACAGATTTACAGAAAACTTACTAAGATCTCTAAATTCATTTTGGGGGGTAATTAACATCACTGAAACCTTAGCAGAGCTTTAGCAGAGTTAAGTATTTGCAGTTTTGACCAAATTGTGATTCCCCTCTCAGCTTAACTGGTTGACTAAATATTTCAAAACGTCAACATAGTCTTCAAGTGGACTTTGCCTGTGACTCTCTTTAAATTGCTCATCCATCCTCCATTACTCCGTAAGCACGACAGAACTGAGGCGCTGGGTGCAACCATGACTAGAACCACGATGCTGCTCGTAGCCCATGGATATAATCAAATCCATGACGTCTTCTAAAACAAATACCCTTTGCAAGGCTACTCTTAAGCCAGTCAGCCACAAAGACAGAGCCTTGGTTAGGGAAGGCCACAGAGGATCCTTACGCTGCCCTCTGACAAATCCTGAGACAGCAAACACTGGCACTGCAATGGTAAGAACCAGGCTTGCTCTTCCTCGTTCCATTAGCACAGGTGACAGCGTGGCAGCAAACCAGCTCCAGAAAGGAATCCAGCTGAAAGTTGGCCATATTTCCTGAAGGGCAGCACTGGAATAAGGCAGAAAGCAACTGCCAGTTTGTAAGAGCTCTCGTCTGCTTCTGTGGAGTAACAACAATCTTCTGTGAAGCTGCGACACAGACAGTGTTAACTATTTATCACAAATCCTAACCCTATTTCTCACAAAGCCTCACTAAGGACAAAGTTTCACGTCACTCCTTCCTATAGCTTTGAAAATAAGATAAATAGATACATATGCTATAGCAGCTTCTGCAATAATGAAATATAAATAACTATAATTATGTCTAGGCACATGTACTAATTCAAGAGAAGTACTGCTTTGGATGCACTTTAACTAGTGCAATGTGCATCAGAGAACCCAGTCCTATGGAAATACACATAGAAAATTTTAATTACTAACCGAGAAAAATTTCTTTAGCAGTATCAGTGGCCTAAGAAATGTAGATGCCCTCTGCCACCTGAAACAGCAGCTCTGGGACACACAGAACACGCTACTCACCCATGCAAAGAAAGTGCCCTACTTGCACCCGATAGTGCTGGAGAGAGAAGCAAGTGAGCAGGAAGCAGAGGACGTGGAAAACCGCCAGCCCCACCAGCCAGGGCTCGGACCAGTCCGTCGTCTACGGACAGAATTGACAGAGATGGGGGGTATCACACAAGCTGCGTGAGGCAGCCAGAACCAGCGGCTTTCCCTTTCACATCCCGAACGGGAAACGAACACGCATTTTGCTCACCGGCCCCGCTCACAGCCACGGGCTGCCAAAGCACAACCGCGCGGCGCC